AGAGTGCCGTCTCTGGGGATCTGCAAATATTAATACCCGTCCCTGAATTTACCAAATTGAACATTCGAATCCAAAATCTAAGTACAAGCAGGCATTGCCACCAGATGTGAAACATAGACCCAACCTGGCCACCATGCCGGAAACACATCTATCCTTTTTTTTAATAAATAATACTACACTTAGAGCAGCCCACTCTCCCTTTAGGCCCCTTTCACACGGGCATTCCGTATGTCTGTTTTTCATCTGTCCGTTTACGGATGAAAAATGAACACCCATGTATTTCTATGGACTAGCGGATGTAAACGGATGATCATCTGTTTACATCCATTAATGTCCGCATCTGTTAACATCCGTTTTTTTTTTAATGGAAGAAAACCCTATTTTTCTTTTGTTAAAAAATGAAATGGACAGAAAACAGATGTAAACAGATGAAAACAGATGTAAACAGACAAAAATGGATGTAAATGGCCGAAAATGGATGTAAACAGATGGAAAACGGATGTAAACAGACACAAATGGATGTAAATGGACAAAAAATGGATGAAAATGCATGTAAAAGGACACAAAAATGGATGTAAATGGCCAAAAACAGATGTAAACGGATGAAAAATGGATGTAAACAGACAAAAAAAAAAACGAATGAAAAAAGGATGTAAACTGATGCATAACTGACGTAACTGATGAAAAACTGATGTAATCTGATCTGTATTTTTTTTGGAAAAAAATGTGACTGAACTGAAAAAAAAAAACGGAACGCCCGTGTGACAGGGGCCTTAGTTTCTATTCTATGCACCGTATATTTACATCCACTGATGAGACCATTTACCAGGAGCAGCTCCCTATCCACCCTCTATTGGGAACCATTAGAAGAACGCCACCTGCTGGATACTTTGAGTAATGTCTGTGTTACACCATCTCTATATGAGTGCGCCTCTTTTTATTATTATATTATTATTACACAGGGTTTATATAGCGCCAACAGTTTGCTCAGCACTTTACAATATGAAGGGAGACAATACAGCAACAATACAGTTCAATACAAGAGGGTTAGAGGGCCCTGCTCCTTGAAGTGTACAATCTAAGAGATACCTTCACTTGGAACATTCCCTAATCTTACTTTTTACCCCCCTCCTAACAATTGTGCACATATATATATATATATATATATCACATGCACACGCACACTCTATTGCCAAAAGTATTGTACATTGCCTTTTAATATTACTACGCTGAGCCTAGGTTCACGCTACAGCGGTGCGGTATATCGCTTGTTTTTCGCACAGGAACCGCACCGCATTCCTGTACAAAATCACATGCGATTTGTGTGCGGTGCAATTAGAGCCATACATTTTGTACCTGCACCAAAAACGTGCAGGACCCTTTTTTGGTCCGCACTATAATTGGATCGCATGGGTATTCACACCTATGCGATCTGATTCTGCACATCACACCACATTTTGTGGACCGATGTCGAGGGTGTTGTTAACTTAACATACACACTTGCATCGGTTCGTATGAACAGGGTGTGATTGTGATGCGGTGCGTAATTCACACTTAAAACGCTGCAAATTCTGCAACGCATCAGTGTGAACCCGGGCTGAGAGTGGTGCCCTTCCTCCTCTCCTCTTTCTTATCGTTTTATATCTGTTGTATCTGAGTATTCTTAACCACTTGCCGTCCGCCTGCTGTTTATAAACGACAGGGCAGTGGCAGTCCAGGGGTGGGTTGCCGTTCATAAACGGCACCCGCCTTTTCTAGCTGTACGCGCTCCCTGGGAGCACGCAGCACCGCGATCCGGTGCCCGCTGTGTCCTCCGGGCACAGTGAAACACCGATCATCAGACGTCTGTACGAGGTCCCGATCATGTGATCACTGATTGGCCAATCAGTGATCACATGCAAAGTAGTAAGCAAGATGTCACTTGTGACATCATTGCTTACTACGTGTGAAATCTGTGAATGATCACAGAGGTCACATGGTACAAGGTTATTCACAACAGCCTTGTACCATGTGACAAGCTGTGACCAATCACAGCTCACTCAGTACTTCTCAATGACTGCAAGAATGCAGAGAGAAAGAGAAATGATTGCTTTTACATCCTATATGGGTGTAAAAGCAATCAGTGTAAAAAAAACAAATCTTCATGACCCCCCACATGTAGTACAGTGTCACCATGGTGACCCCACAAGTAGTACAGTGTCACCATGGTGACACTGTACTGCTAGGGTGACAGTATGTAAAAAAAAAAAAAAATAAAATAATAATAATAATAAAAAAAATAATAATATAAAAAAATAAAATAAAAATGTAAAAAAAAAATGTTTAAAAATTATAATTTTTGGTTATAAACTATTTTGGATTTTTTTTTTTTACTAAAAAAATAACGGAATAAATTTTGGCCAAGATTTATAATGAAATATTATTTATTTGCAAAATTTTATAAAAAAAAAACACTCTTTTTCCAAATTTTTGGACTGTTTCATTTACATAGCAAAAAAAATAAAAATCCCAGTGGTGAATAAATACCACCAAAATAAAGCTTTATCTGTCTCAAAAAAATGGTAAAAAATTCATATGGGTACAGTATTGCATGACCGCGCAATTGTCATTCAAAGTGTGATAGCGCTGAAAGCTGAAAATTGCCCTGGTGAGGAAGGGGGTAAAAGTGTCCGGACAGGAAGTGGTTAAGAAGTTGCCAACCATTGATGTCTCCACTAAACATATTGATACGCTTGTTTTATCCATGCGTATGTGAGTGTGATACATATACCGTTTTTTTATTGATTTTCCTATTATTACTTACTTGCTTGAAGGAGTGAATGCTGACGCTGTAACTGTGTATTTCCTCCATTAAATTCATTATATTACATGGACTTTATTTTTATGAACAATACCTTGAGATTTATTGCCAATCCCCCCTTGTCTCTTTACCTTTGAGGGTTGTAAACTGGTCTCACTCCTTTTGCGTTGGATTTCAAGTATATCCCCTTGTGGGGACATACATATGTGATATTAAATGAAACGTGAGGACTTAGCGAAACGCTTACATAATAGCAGCAATTGCACCAAAAAGGAACCACAAACTTTTCAATAGATAATAAGAATACAAATAGTGCAGCGCTAAAATATAATAAGATATATGTACATACTAAATAGTAGTAATGAAGTGATAGAAATATATACTGTGACGTAAATCAAATAGCCAATAGCTGATTAAATAGCAGTGCGCATAAAATTATGACAATATATAATATGCATAGAGAGAAAAAAGTCCCATAAAAAGTGCAGGATATAATGATGATAATGGGAGTTAATTCCCAGCAATAAAATATGTGAACAGTTCCAAAATCTTAGTGCGAATCTTTGTGGCCCCAGTGTGGGAAATAATAATCCGGGGGCGTGAGATAAATAGTAAGATTGCAAACTCACCAGAAGCGCAACCTTAATGTGCATTAATTATATAAATCAGCCAGAGGTTCTCCCATCTAATGGAGTACAGCCTGGTACAGGAATCACCTCCTCTGCCGGTCTGGGCGTTTATGATGTCAATCAGAGGTCCCTTTAAGGGGTGTGCTGTATTAGGGTCTGGTCACAGGTAGGCTCCATCCTCTGGACTGGAGAAACGCACCTGGGGTCCTGGGGGGTTTAACTGCTCATTTCAGAGCAAAAGATATAGATACCCATAGTGTAGAATGCTAAGTTTTTTATTGGGAAGTTATCCAAATTCATAAAATAGTGGTATATACACACATGTGCAAAATTGTAAAGTCTCCAGGTAAAAATGACATGCAGCTTAAAAGCTGTTAATACACTGACCAGTTCAGAAAGAAAGATGGCCGCCGGACCTCCGTGATCCGGCGGCGTGACGTCACGGCATAACAAGGCTCCGCCTTAACGCGTTTCGTATCAGAATACGTTTTCAAAAGGGGTGTTGTGATATTGCTTTTCAGCCTATTTAAAATGAATGGGGTGTGACACATCTCAGGGGCCCAGAAATCAGACTCGCCTTTGCTGACAATGACAGTGGGTAACCACAGATTGCACGTCTGTGCAGTGCACCTTCATTGGAAAGGTGTGTTGGGATGCTGTTCAGAATGAATGACACCACATTGCACCATTCCAAGTGCCTCATATTGCAGTAATGTGCCAGGGGAACATTCACCTTCCCACAATGCAATAATATGAACGGCGCCGTGAACTGTGTATGACAAGTCTTTGCTGTTAGTTTTTATCAGAAGTCTGTCAGGCTGCCAAGATTTTGGTGTAACAGAAAATAATAGAAAGAAAAAGCCATTTGAGTACTTCTGCTTTGAAATGTGAACTTATTTATCCACAATGTCTATAGCTAGGGAGGTGAATGAGGATTTGTGTGAAAGTTTAGCCTATATTACAAACATAACAATCAGCAGAAGGGACAGCACTTCCATTTTGTATGGTGTGTCCCTTGTGCCCGATCGATCACATTGATGGCACTGACACAGAAGAGGGGGGATCTCACACCCCCGGACCACCGGATTGATTGTGGGGATGTGACAGGGTCAGGTAGGTGGTCCTACGGTGTTAGTTCACCTTTCCTTTATTTCTGTAATGGGGACTGACACACTAAAAATACATACAGAACTTCTTTAACCAGATTTTGGGGTCACTGTGTGTTCCAACTGAGCTCCATCCACGTATAAGAGACAAAACTATATCAGCTCAATATTCATTCATCATTATCAGCCATGGATGTACAGGAGGATCTCAGGGATTGTCTTTGGGTTGTACAGGACCGCCGAGGAATCCCGTCATCTCTCTACGGATATCAGTCCCATACACAGCACAGCTGTCATCACCCCTCCCCCACCACAGGGCACTCCCGGCGTCAGCTGATCACTTTCTACCGGCAGGGGGCGGTGCCCGGTGGGTTTCTTCCGGGTCAGTGGGCTGAATGGGTTGTCGGTGATCGGGATCGGAGCGTCCGGTGATCTCCCCTCCCCCCCAGGCTCGGTGGGGTGTATATGGCGTCCTTGTCCCAGCTGGCAGTCTGGCTCTCCCAATCGGCCGCTGCTCGCTCCTATGCGGTCTTCTCCAAAGGCCTGAGCCGCACTCTGCTCATCTTCTTCAACCTGGCCTGGAGGCTGAGGATCAAATTCCCCTACCTCTATGTCATCGCCTCCATGATGCTCAACGTCAGGCTGCAGGTGAGAGCCGGGCCCCCTTCACTGCATCCCCCCCCCATCACTAGACCCCCCCCTTCTCATCTCCCATCCCTAGATCCCCCCTCCCATCCCATCCCATCCCTAGATTGCCCCCTTCTCATCCCCAGATCGCCCCCCCTTCTCATCCCCAGATCGCCCCCCCTTCACATCCCCAGATCGCCCCCCCCCTTCTCATCCCCAGATCGCCCCCCCCCTTCTCATCCCCAGATCGCCCCCCCCCTTCTCATCCCCAGATCGCCCCCCCCCCTTCTTCTCATCCCCAGATTGCCCCCCCCTTCTCAGATCGCCCCCCCCCCTTCTCATCCCCCATCCCTAGATTTCTCCCCCCCCCCTTCCCATCACTAGATTCCTCCCCCCCCCCCCCATCACTAGATTCCTTCCCCCCCCCCCCCCCCCCCCCTTTCCCCTCATCCCTGGATTCCCATCCCCCCCCTTCCCGTCGCTGGATTTCCCTCCTCCGCTCCCGTCGCTGGATTTCCCTCCTCTGCCCCCCCCCCCCTTCCCCGTCGCTGAATTCCCCCTTCCCATCGCTGGATTTCCCTCCTCCACCCCCCCCTTCCCGTCGCTGGATTTCCCTCCTCTGCTCCCGTCGCTGGATTTCCCTCCTCCACCCCCCCTTTCCCCGTCGCTGGATTTCCCTCCTACCCCCCCCCCCCCTTCCCGTTGCTGGATGAAAGGAACACGATGTGCTTTAACTGCAGACTGTCAGCTTTAATTTGAGGGTATTTACATACAAATCAGGTGAACGGTGTAGGAATTACAACAGTTTGCATATGTGCCTCCCACTTGTTAAGGGACCAAAAGTAATGGGACAGAATAATAATCATAAATCAAACTTTCACTTTTTAATACTTGGTTGCAAATCCTTTGCAGTCAATTACAGCCTGAAGTCTGGAACGCATAGACATCACCAGACGCTGGGTTTCATCCCTGGTGATGCTCTGCCAGGCCTCTACTGCAACTGTCTTCACTTCCTGCTTGTTCTTGGGGCATTTTCCCTTCAGTTTTGTCTTCAGCAAGTGAAATGCATGCTCAATCGGATTCAGGTCAGGTGATGGACTTGGCCATTGCAGAACATTCCACTTCTTTCCCTTAAACTCTTTGGTTGCTTTTGCAGTATGCTTTGGGTCATTGTCCATCTGCACTGTGAAGCGGCGTCCAATGAGTTCTGAAGCATTTGGCTGAATATGAGCAGATAATATTGCCTGAAACACTTCAGAATTCATCCTGCTGCTTTTGTCAGCAGTCACATCATCAATAAATACAAGAGAACCAGTTCCATTGGCAGCCATACATGCCCACACCATGACACTACCACCACCATGCTTCACTGATGGGGTGGTATGCTTAGGATCATGAGCAGTTCCTTTCCTTCTCCATACTCTTCTCTTCCCATCACTCTGGTACAAGTTGATCTTGGTCTCATCTGTCCATAGGATGTTGTTCCAGAACTGTGAAGGCTTTTTTTACATGTCGTTTGGCAAACTCTAATCTGGCTTTCCTGTTTTTGAGGCTCACTAATGGTTTACATCTTGTGGTGAACCCTCAGTATTCACTCTGGTGAAGTCTTCTCTTGATTGTTGACTTTGACACACATACACCTACCTCCTGGAGAGTGTTCTTGATCTGGCCAACTGTTGTGAAGGGTGTTTTCTTCACCAGGGAAAGAATTCTTCGGTCATCCACCACAGTTGTTTTCCGTGGTTTTCCGGGTCTTTTGGTGTTGCTGAGCTCACCGGTGCGTTCCTTCTTTTTAAGAATGTTCCAAACAGTTGTTGTGGCCACGCCTAATGTTTTTGCTATTTCTCTGATGGGTTTGTTTTGTTTTTTTCAGCCTAATGATGGCTTGCTTCACTGATAGTGACAGCTCTTTGGATCTCATCTTGAGAGTTGACAGCAACAGATTCCAAATGCAAATAGCACACTTGAAATGAACTCTGGACCTTTTATCTGCTCATTGTAATTGGGATAATGAGGGAATAACACACACCTGGCCATGGAACAGCTGAGAAGCCAATTGTCCCATTACTTTTGATCCCTTAACAAGTGGGAGGCACATATGCAAACTGTTGTAATTTCTACACCGTTCACCTGATTTGGATGTAAATACCCTCAAATTAAAGCTGTCAGTCTGCAGTTAAAGCACATCTTGTTCGTTTCATTTCAAATCCATTGAGGTGGTGTATAGAGCCAAAAATGTTAGAATTGTGTCAATGTCCCAATATTTATGGACCTTACTGTATGTGGCCCCAGACTGAAGGATATACTGTATGTGGCATACATTGTGTCTGCAGTTTTTATATATGTAACTCTTGTGTTTTATAGCACCTTATAGTGACTGTCACTTAAAAAAATCTAAATAAAGATGCTAGCAGGTATAACATTCAGCCAGATAGAGGTGTCTGTACTTACCTGCAGCGCCTTTCCTTGCCTTCTTTTGTCTCCTCTGTAGACTAGAAGGCTGGAACAACTTTATATTACTACTGTGCTTCCCTGGAACAGCTTTGTATTACTCTGTGCTTCCCTGGAACAGTTTTCCCCTCACTGTGTGTTTACTGAAATGTTGTCACTGTTAGCAAAAATCTCTCTAACCCTCGGTGCACACCTACAGTATCTCAGAGGTGAGTCCACCCCTCACAGTTTTGTAAATATTCTATCTCTTCATGTGACAACACTGAAGAAATGACACTTTGCTACAATGTGACGTAGTGAGTGTACAGCTTGTATAACAGTGTAAATTTGCTGTTCAACTTTTTAATCAAGGTATGCTGTTCTTCTGAACAATGTCTGGAACGACCCATTTTCCTCAGAATTTCAGAGAGAAATGCACTGTAACCAGCATGTACAACATTTGCTGCCTTCCTTCTTTAAATAAGGGCAATAATTGCCACCTGTTTTTCAAAGAATGAATGACCTCACTAATAGAACTCCACACTGCTATTATTTTGAACATGCCCCTTTCAATTAGTGATTCAATTATAGAGAATCAGCAGCATGCATGTCATGACTGTTGGGTCTGTTGGATTTCTATTACTCTACTACACCTGCTAGTAAACTATTTGCCATGTAGAAATATCATTTCTACCAAAAACAGTGATTGATCAGGTTAGTGATGTCTGACTGCTATTATTTTGAACACAACTGTATAAGTGTGTGTGTGTGTGTGTAAAGCGCTGCGTAAATTGACGGCGCTGTATAAGTACCTGAAATAAAATTAACCACTTGCCTACCAGGCACTTATACCCCCTTATTTACCAGGCCAATTTTCAGCTTTCAGCGCTGCCGCACTTTGACAATTGCGCGGTCATGCAACATTGTACCCATATGAAATTTTGATCATTTTTTCTCACAAATAGAGCTTTCTTTTGGTGGTATTTAATTGCCACTGGGCGCTTTACTTTTTGCGCTATAAATAAAGTGCAAAAAATTTGAAAAAAAAAAAAAAGTTTCTTTGTTTCTTTTATAAAATTTTTCAAACAGGTATTTTTTTCTCCTTCACTGATGTGCGTTGATGAGGCGGCACTGATAGGCGGCACTGATGGGCACTGATAGGCAGTACTAATGAGGTGGCACGGATAGGCGGCACTAATATGCAGCACTGATAGGCGACACTGATTATGGGTACTGATAGATGGCACTGACTGGCACAACCCCTGGGCACTGACTGGTGGCACTGGTGGGGGGCACTTCTGGGCACAGGTAGGTGGCACTTCTGGGCACAGGTAGGTGGCACTGCAGAGTGGCACAGGTGGGTGCACTGCTGGGCACAGGTGGGTGCACTGCTGGGCACGGGTGGGCGGAGCTAGTGGGCGCACTGCTGGGCACAGGTGAGCGGAACTTGCGGGTGTCACTGCTGGGCACCGATCATCAGGGCACTGATGATCGGTGCCGATCCCCACTCTGACAACTGCCGGTCCTCGGCAGTACTTTCCTCACGATCTGACAGCGTGAGGAAAGTGCAGCCGAGAACCGGCACTTGCATTTCCCTCTGATCAGCGTGTCATTGGACACCGCTGATCACGTGGTAAAAGGCCGCTGTGATTGGCCTTTTACCACATCACGTGATCAGCTGTGTCCGTAGGACACAGCGATCACGGAGATCGCCGGGTGCGCGCCCCCTGGGGCGCGCAGGAGAGCGCGTTCTGGGAGGACGTCATATGACGTCCACCCAGAACTGGCCGGCCGCAGTGCAGCCATCATTCGGCTATCTGCGGTCGGCTACTAGTTAAATAAATCTACGCATTTTCACCCGGAGCATTTTGTGGAAAGGGTCAGGGACTTTTTTAAAAACGCAAAATGTTACGTTTTTAGTTCTATAGACTTCAATGGAGGCACTGCAGAAAAGCATGTAGTGCGTTTTTTTTGACGCATTTATTCTGCCCAGCAACAAGTTGAAGAAAAAAAACATGGCCAAAATGCACTGCAGAAACAGATCAAATGCAAGCTGCATAGGTGTGAACCTGGCCTAATAGAGTCTCGGATAGTAATAAAAACCTGACCGGGGTTCTGACCCTTTTTCCCAGACTACCCAAAAAAAAATAAAAAATGACGATCATTTTAAAGTGTGCAAACAAATAGTGCAGTGCTTCAAAATGACATAAAAATGAACCAAAATCAACATCTAAGTGATTTTGGGTATGGCTATTCTTAAGAGCTGTAATTTCTAAACCCTTCCTCCAATTCAGATGTACATACCCTCACATTAAACCTGGGTGTGTACTTTCAGCCCATAACCATTATATAACTACAGCTTGAATATGTTTAGGTAAATACCTGCAAAAATCTAAAATTGTGCCTCTGTCCAAATATATACATTGAAGGAATTTAGTATTTGATCCCCTGCTGATTTTGAATGTTTGCCCACTCACAAAGAAATGATCAGTCTAAAAATCGAATGGTAGGTGTATTGTAACACTGAGAGACAGAATAGCAACAAAAAATTCAAAAGAAATGCATGTCTAACAAATTATGCATTGATTTGCATGTTCATGAGGGAAATAAGTATTTGATCCCCTATCATTCAGCAGGATTTCTGGCTACCAGGTGTCTTTCATTTAGGTAACAAGCTGAGATTAGAAGCAATCTTTTAAAGGGAACTAGTATAGCAGTCCATAAAAGTTCACACAGGTCAAAGATCTCCACTGTAGGTGTAGTGCAGCTACATAATTTCCAATAGGTGAGATGATCTTCAATGTGATTCTTCCACCAATTTGTACTTGCCAAAAGAATCAAAAGTATGCAATAAAAACAATGCAGCCAAACTTCCAATAATGGCCACCGATCCAAAGAGCGGACTCGTTGGCGTGACATCAGCATGTAAGACTCCTATCTGACGCGTTTTGTGC